CGTTAGTACTCTTGGAAATTATTGGCGAAAAATCAAGAACTTACAACCCAACGAGAGGATCGCTCTTCGTCTGAGTGTTCATGCCATAGGCAATAGCCTGGCCAATCGCCTCGAGGCAGCGAAACGCAGCTCCGTTGCGAACGTTCTCTGAACAAGGAGTCAGTATTATATATCTTAGGGTATGCATGTTCTCTATATCTCACCTTGTGCGTCTGTCGCGAACGATGACAGAAGCCAGTACATGTACGACTGAGACAGGGGTCCTGTAGTCTGCACAAAGAAGTACGGCAAGAAGGAAGTGGCGAAGAGGCTGTCATCCCAGTCGATAGCTCCCGGGTCATTGCGATCAAATCGAGCTTGCATGATGATGGACCAGATATAGACTCCAACGTTGAGAATGACAACAGTATAGAGGCCGATCTGGGCGCGGCGACGTTGGGTCAATTTCTTAGCATCGAGAATGAAGCCGAGGCCAAAGCAGCCAACACTGAGCTTATGTCAGTACTGCCAAATTCACTCGTGTGGAGTACTTACATGCAAAAGAACGGCGAGATGAGCGATGAAAGCGCACGGGCACGAACGGTAAAGTGGATGCCGAGATATGTTGACCAGGAGCCGCTGTATCCGTGTTAGTTGCCGATTGCCTCGTCACTTCCGGCAATCTCACCTGTAGAAGAAAGACCAAACCGCCCAGATTGATGACAAAATGATGAGGCGCGAGGTCATGGTCTTTGCGATGCGCTTTACCTCAAGCTTGGTGGAGAGGGTCTCAGTAGTAACAATCTTGGTACCATCCGATCGAATGACATGCTCAAAGGGAGTGATCATGAAAGCAAACGGCAGGCTACATGATCACCTTAGCGACGTGTCCAAGATAATTATATGCAGTTCTACTCACGCCAGGCACTCGATGATGAGAAAGGCGATGTAAGTGTCTGGAGTGACTCCACCACTAACACCTTTCTCATGGTTCTTCGACAGACTAGGGATGACATGTCAGTGGGATTCGTGGCCAGATACCGAGTATACTTACTTGATCGCGCCGCCAACTAGCTGACCAAGGTTTCGCGACACAATCCATAGTGCCAGGTATTTACCACGAGCTCCCGAAGGGGCGAGAGTCATGATGGCACCAGCTTCAGCGACATACCAACAGCCCGTGCCGATACCACCGATGGCGCCGCTGAGGATGAGATACTATGTACGGTCAGCCATCAGGGGAGTCATACACGGTGAAGTACTGACCCATTGGTTTCCGAACTTGCTGTTGCAGTAGTATGCGGAGCCTTGGATGGGGAAGGACATAGAGCCAATCACCAAAGCCCATTGGACTCCGATCTTGTTCACGATAGGACCTCCCATGAAGCAGGCTGGGTATTTGTGTTAGTTTCGCACCGATAATATCTAATGGGTACTTACTGAAGGCAAGGGCAGCATATCGAAGGGCCGTTGAGATGTTGGAGACCTGAGGAGTTGCAAGACCACCGCCACCGAGACCTAAGAGAAGTTGGTAACAATACATTGAATCCCGACTGCAGTGACTGACCAGCAATGGCATCCGACATGGCAGGACCACAGAAAGCCTGAATACTCAGAAGAATCATCTGGGTCAAACTGTGATGCCATATGTATTTCCACCTTGGGACATCTCTTGTCGTGTTCATATCAGCAGCTCGCACCGAAGGCTGAGGTGATCGAGTCCTGTCAGAGGGAGAAACTGCAGTCTTGTTGTCGGCCATTGTAGATGACTTGAATCGAGGGATGGATGGGGGAAAGTCAGTCTTGACAGCGACGAGTGACTGACTTATATATGCCGATCTCAGGACTAACAGCCCCCCTCCTGCCGCTATCGCAGCTTCCCCACGGGGTAGGTCATTTTCCTCTGCTTGAGAATGTGAGCGTGAAGGTCCAAGCGAAGACAATCAAGGTTTGTATCTTGGGCCAATCGGTGCTTGGCCGAGACTTGTTTATCCGACTTCGACGCGGGGTTGATCCGCTTTTTATCATGTCTTTATCTCTTATCGGATAAGTCCCAAACCCCCAGATCCGGTGATAACAAGAGGGAAGGTCCAAGCGAGACTTCTGGCGATAACATCATGATGAACATAACACTACACGCGATATGGAAAGATAGTTCACGCTAAGTATTGGCTGGTCTCATCTCGGTTGAAGGAACCGGGTCAATAAGACGGACCTTATCTTCCTAAACTTGCCATGCACGGTTATTAGTCATTGCCTTAACGAAACTGAGCTTAATGCCTCTTTTAGGCACGATGGGCATGTATGCAAGTGTTTCCGCGTGGACTTTCCATAGCACTATTGTTAACAAGAAAATGCATCAACCAAGGCAATAACTCGTCTCTCAACGTGATTAAACCATCATCCAGCACAATATCCGGATTTATAATTGCGAAGGTGGTTTAAGTTAAGCTTACCCTGAAGGCTGGACCCAGTAGACCCAGCTGCCCCTCGCCGCAAACAGAGCCGGCTCACTGAATCATCGCCCCAGGAACCAATTAGCGGCTTAACAGGTTATCACTGGCTGTGCACATAAGGATGATATTGTCATAACATCTCACTTGACCACCTCCAAATCTCTGTAACACATGCTTTGTGCTTTGAATTTGCTCGCCCTAACGACAGAATGCAAAAAGTCAAATCAGAGAGCCAAACGCAATTGGTAGAGTGCAATTGTCAAAAAATGCAAAAATGAATCCCCGAAACCTGGATCGAACAAGTGACCTTTCGGTGTCAGATTAACAATTACAGCCGAACGCTCTTCCAGCTGAGCTATTCGGGGATGATCTCCGAATCCGGAGGAATAGCTATTGGTGCGGAGAGTATTGCAAATTTGGACTTAAGTACTCCAGGTCACAACCCCACCAAGAGGCATTGCTCAGACAGGGCTGATGCGATCAATCAACGCGTAGAGAATCGTAGTCTCGACCCTGCATCCTTCTCCTTTTCTTGCAGCGCGCCTAAAGCCTGGTCGGAGACAATGCTCTATCTCACATGACTCGACGCCAGTCATATTGTGCTGTTCAATGATTTCATACGCCACGCGGCAAAGGGTTGTTGATTCGCCACCAGCGACTCGGGGTAGTTGATCGTCCTCATCGTAATGCTGAACCGTAGAAAACATATTAGACGCGAAGGTATCGGTTGAAGTTATCCCAAAAAATGGCGCGACGGCATTTCTATTCAGATCCTGTTGCCTGGAATGCTGATCGATGGGTATAAGGTTGTGACGACAGCACGTCGTTTCATCACAGCCACTATTGGATGCCCTAAGCTCGACTGGAACCTCGGCTTTCTCAGAGACGAATAAGGGCCGATTTGCTGTTAGAAGAGATTCTAGCTCATGAATACGCGCATGCGCTGCTCGCAACTCTTCCTGAGTCGCCTTCAACTGAACCTCAAGAGACTCAGTTCGGGCTTTGACACGCGCACGATGACGACGTTGATTGTCGCGCACCCGAGTGGGGTTCGGATTCAGCGTCCATTTTGTCACGTTCGGGGTTTTGTCCGTGGATTCCATGATGCAGACCAGCGAGTGTACTTCAGAGAATGATTTCGAATAATTGTAGAGGTGGCGGGTTATGGTAGTGACATATCATTTTATTGCCCCAAGCGGTTATGAACTGTGACATATCGAATAATTTCTTCTTCTGGCACGATTGTTACCGTCGGTGATATCTTTGATTGGTCTAGTCTTGCTGAATCATCAGACTTCCTGTGAACTCCAACATCTCGGCATGAAACTGAGAGCGTGTTGACCTACCTTATAAAGGGCAGGCTTACGTCTCACACTGAAATGTTTCCTTCCAGTATCACTTTCTCAATACCTCTTACCATAAAGGAATACAAGACCTACTGCCATGAATAATCAAGATATTTATACACGAGTTGGCGAGCGATATGGAAGTGCAGCAGAAGGGTCCAATACAACATACAGCACCAATGTCGCGAAAGCCTTTGGCTATTCGAACGACGACCTCGACTCCATCCCCAAAGATGCTAACTTGGGACTGAGCTGCAGCACGCCGTTGGCGATTGCTTCACTGAAGGAAGTAGGTCCCGCATCCACCATGTTGCAAAAGACAGAACTGACGTTCTGAGGGCGAGACTGTTATCGACCTGGGAAGCGGTGCTGGTCTGGATGTCTTCCTATCCTCCAGCAAAGTCGGCCCAACTGGTAAGGCTATCGGTGTTGACATGAACAAGGTGAGTGAGCACTGTACATGATTAATCAACCATGATTTCTCACTCAGAGAAGAACATGCTCGCCAAAGCCAGGAAGCTTAAGGCAGATCGATCAATGGAAAACGTCGAATTCATTGAGTCTCGTATCACCGACATAGCCTTGGAAGACAGCGTCGCCGACTGCATCATCTCCAACTGCGTCGTCAATCTGGTACCTCATGATGAGAAACAAAAGGCCTTCAACGAGATGCACCGTCTGCTCAAACCTGGAGGGCGAGTCGCCATATCCGATATCTTGGCAAAGAAGCCCCTTTCAGAAAATATCAGAAACAGCATGGCACTTTACGTCGGATGCATCGCTGGAGCAAGTCAAGTCGAGGAGTATGAAGAGTACCTGAAACGTGCAGGTTTCAATGGTGGGCAGCCCTATACTTATAAGGAGTATCAGCTGACCGGATGGACCTGTAGATGTTCTCATAACTGATGCGAATAATGACCTGAATGTATACCTTGACGTGTCATCTGATGCCGCAGCGGGTGGATGTTGCTCAGTCTTTGAGAACATGGAAGTTGATCTCAAAGGGCAAGACCTTAGCGAATGGGCCGGTATGTAAGATCTGACCAAGTGAATATGATCCAACGCTGACATTGAGTTGAAGGATCATTCAAGATATATGCCATGAAATAAAGGTCTTGGCCAGGAGACAGAACCTTGAGACCATGGAAGACCGTGGTAGAATTATAAAGTCTATAAAATGTCTGGCGGGTTCAAAACTTACCATTGAAAGTCATTTTGATCATTGAGTTGCTGGCGGGATCCATCCCATCTCCTCTGAAAGTCTCAAAACCCAGGATTTATGCTCTTCATCAAGATGCATGTGAATCTTTCTCATCATACAGTCCGCCCACCCTTTCAACCACCACTGTGCCTCTGCTCTCCTGACCATAAGACAGAAGTGAGCTAGTACCGCCCAAGCCTCCTGATCGCGTGCTTTGACAAGAGGTAAAAATCCATCGATACCCGCGTATAACCAAAAGAACAAATCAGTACTCTCCCAGCTCGCAGTGCGACATGCTGCAGATCGCAAGCTGTCAATCCTCTCGATCAAAATGTTCAACTTCTCGCTCTGTGGGACATAGTTTCTTATCCTCTCTTCTAGTTGGCATAGTACCTCATCCCTTTGGTCGTAGGAGGGGTGAAAGACATTGTGCAATGCCCATCTTTGACGGCTAAAGGAGAACAATGATGTCAAACAGCTTTCAGGACAGTCTTGTTCGAAGGTTGTTGAGAGCTTAGCTGTCCCTTGTATGAGATATATCCAATCTTCGAAATCACCTTCGCCCGCTGGTATCCCATCTTGCTGCGACCGTTTTGGCGTAGCCATTGCTGTTCAATATTAGCATATAAAGCTGAGATGAAAGAGGGTGGAGGTATTACCGATGACAATAGTCAGAGAAGAAAATATGAACAGGCCGTCAGCATTCTCGGGATTTAACTCTTTCAGGAGTCCCATTGCTTGCTGAGAAGATTCCTGATGGAGTGTGAGGGCCGTTGCAAGGTATTCGTGCCGCTGATCCGGTCTGTGATAAGCAAGGTGCAATGCTGCCAGCGCAAGTACTTCACCCATCAAATAGCTGTTGTGTATAGCCAAACGCGGAACTGTTATCCTCCAAAAGTCTTGCAGTGCCGGAAATATTGACAAAGTTGAGTACGTTGATGTAGTGTATGTGTGAAACAATTCAAGATCTCCGAGGTTGATACCACCAGTGCCGCTTATTGCTGGTTTGGGAGAGCCTGACCTCCTGACATATGCCTTCTTTGGTGGTGGCGGTAAGTACTTGCATTCTTCTTGCAATCTACTGCAATTGAAGCACGCAGGTCGCTGCTCATCGCACTACTGCCATGTCAGAATATGGTGATGTCGATTGTCAAGTCAAATACTGACTTTGACCTTTCTTTTCTTGCATTGCTGGCAGCCTTTGCGTGACTTTGTATGCGAGACCCTCTTTGGTCTCCTTGAAATCTGGGACGAGTCAATTGGAGAAGCCTCGTCAGTTTGCACAGAAGATGCAGGGCTGTTGAGAAATCTGGCCTCGGTGTTTTCCATCGTTGAACGAGAAGCAGTGACTTTTCTCGGCGCTAAATTCCTGAGGTCTCGCTGCGTGACGGCGAGTGGCTATATAACGGAGTGACCTTTAAGGGGTTGTTATCAAGATCGAACTCAAGGACCCGAAAAATCATCTCATTCCCCCATACTTCGATCATGCTGAGTGGCAGCAAAAGTTCTCGGGTGGCTTGCGAGACATTCAGGGGGCCGGCTGTCGTTATGAGAGCAGGAGCGAGGTTAAACGAGGTTAAACGAGCATAACACAGGCCAGACCGCGTCAAAACATAACATCGAAGTTCCGCCGACCGCACTAATGATTCAGGACCAATCGACCGTTTGAGCATGCGTTGATGGAGGAATTCTTCGTTTACTCGTTTAGGGCACTGTTAAGTCTAATAATAAAGAAACCCGGTAAGGCAGACTCGCTCATCGTCTAGCGGGTGATCAGTGAATGGGTACCCTTAGTTTGTCCTCCGGCTTGGCCGCATGGCAGTGCTCTTCTCTCCCTTAAATTCTCTGACAGTTTTAGTGTCAAGTTCAGTATAAAGACATTCATTTTCCTAGACCACAACTTCATTTCAGACCATCGTTCATTAGCTTCACTTTACTAGTTCCTTTTCATTCTCATCACATTTTCTTTCCTTTGACATCGTTCATTTACGCAATTTCGCAACTTCAGTCCTTACTTCCCTACCTTTGTAATTGGAAATCTAGTGTTCGAAAATGAACATGTTCACACGTTCTGACGATGGGGTGGAGGAGTTCAAACTCTACCATTACGACCCAACTGTGGTCGGTGCTGTTATTTTCACCATCCTCTTTTTAGCCACGACTCTCCTTCATTCATGGCAACTTGTTCGAGGAAGATCTTGGTTTGTCATCCCGTTGACTCTTGGTGGTTTCTGTAAGTTTATCTGCCGGCTCAATGGCGCTGCTGAGTCTAACATGTTACTCCTTCTTCCAGTTCAAGTTGTTGGATACGCCGCGCGAGCAAAGTCTGGTAACGAGAGTCCCAATTGGACCCTCGGCCCTTATATCATGCAAAGCATTCTGCTTCTCGTGGCCCCTGCGCTTTTTGCTGCAACGATCTACATGGAGCTTGGTAGAATTGTTCTGATGATAGACGGCGAAGGCCGCGTTTTGATCTCCAAGAAGTGGATGACCAAGATCTTTGTGACTGGAGATGTCTTATCTTTCATCCTGCAGGCAGGAGGTAGGTCGTTCGTATCGATTCAGCCATCTGAGGTGCTAATTTATTGATGAAGGTGGTGGTTATCAGGCGTCCGGTACCATCGAGGCTCTCAGAGCCGGAGCAAAAGTGATTATCGGTGGTCTCTTCGTCCAACTCCTCTTCTTCGGCGTCTTCATTGTAATTGCCATCGCCTTCCATCGTGCGATCAGCGCCAACCCGACAGCCCGCTCCTCAAGCGGGCTCCCTTGGCAGAAACACATGCTTGCTCTGTATATCGGAAGTTTACTCATCATGGTACGATCTATCTTCAGGGCTGTTGAGTATCTGCAGGGCTTCGACGGTTACCTGCTCCGACACGAGGCCTACCTTTATATTTTTGATGCCTGTCTCATGTTCTTTGTCATGGTTCTGTTCAACTGGTTCCATCCATCTGAAATCACTGAGATCTTGAACGGCAGGGGCGCTGGTAAAAGCTACAGTATGCATGCGTTTACCGAGGTTTAGGCATGGTGAGAATTTGGAACAGGAGTACGGCAAATATGTCGATGGGGAACCTTATTGAGAGGAAGCAAAGGGTATTGGAGTATATCATGAACGACAACGAGATAAACTTGGACAGGAGAATTAGACCGGAATACTTGTGGCTCAGTTTTATATCATTAAATCATAACTTGGTTAAAGTTGGCATTAACGGCTCAACTCTGCATATCTCCTGTTCTTAGACCAACTACTACAAGTGGCCATGATATCCAGTGTTCCCAATAAGAGCCAAGCAAGTCATTCACTACCTCCACTATGTCGTGTCCCCAACCTTCCATAAACCAAGAATCATTGAGGGAGTGCAGCAAGGCACCGTAAAAGGCATATAATATGAGTGCAGGCGGTTGCCTCTGATGTAACAGAGAAAAGTACCGCTCTGATGCGAAAGGCACGAATAAGAAAGCTCCCTGCCAGGCCCTATTGAAGACCGAACTGCCAGGGGTCTCAGCCTCCATCGTTGAGAACTGTACCATGAACATCCTGATCCTCCTAAGCACGTGTAGAATGTCTTCATAAGTCGATGCATCTGGGTTATGCTCCCAAATTTCCCTCAAGCGGCAGAAGCGCTTGTCATCAATATCCTCTACCAAGTCGGGATCGATTTCGTCCCAATTTCCAATATTCAGGGCCTCTCTCAACTGACCCGCCGATAAGACCTCGAAGTAAGGTACCAGTACTGTCTGGACACCTCGAAGCATGGGGATCCATCCCGCGCCCAAGATGCGATCCTTACGACCGCCCCAGCTAGACTCGTCCCAGAAGCCCTCTCCCAACCGACCTGAGGCCGCAAATACGTACAGAAGGTTGAGCGATGACCAGACGAACAAACCATCGGCAATCTCCTCATTGGACTGCGAAATGGCCTCGTTGAAGCCCTGTAGACCTTGACTGTGGTATCGCGCTGCTTCTGCCGTATATTCCAGTCTCTGCTGGGGCTCAAGGTATGCGATGTGGAGGGCTGTCAGGCCTAGGAGAGCTTGCATCACGAAAGGATGCTGAAATGCGATCTTGGGGAATATGACCTGGCAGATGGCTGATAAAGCCGAGTTCTTGTAGACATCAAGACTAGTAGAGACTGTCCAATGGTGAAGCAGAGCCATGTCCTCCATTCCATAAGTGACGGTTGGTCTGATGTGTTGCTGTACCCCAAGAACTGACTGATATGCATTTGAGACCAGACCCGGAACAGGTGCAATCGTCTGGGTATCAATCTGCTTCGGCGGCTGCGACGAAGTTGACTCGGGAGATGTTTCGTCGCCATGCTGTGTAGACGGCGATGGGAATACAACTCCTTGAAATGAAGGGTATTCGCATTCAACTCCGCGACGACGACAAGCACGGCATTCTGGTCGCTCCTCGGTGCACTACAGCATCAATCAGTTCCAGAATCGGGATAAGCACCGCCACATTCAAGCCACGCAGGCACGCACCTTGACGCGCCGTCTTCTGCAATCGAGACAGCCTGTCTTTGCTTTCTTGTGCGGCCTTCTGGGCTTCGATCCACCTCTCACTGTAACGACGTCATGCACCTCGGCGTCCATGACGGCCAATAATAGGACAGTGAGGCAAGGCTGGGAGCTGAACGAGATTGCTGAGTTCAAATTTGATTTTTCCGATATCGTTTGTGTAGGTAAACGAAGGGGAGAAAAAGAAATCTGTTGGCGATGGATGGAACGAGGGTACTGTACGATTACTGTACAGAGCCGAAAATGAAGATGAACGAGATGAACGAGGTCTTTAACGAGATCTTAACGAGGTCTAATGAGGTCTTAACGAGATGTAAACGAGGTGTAAACGAGAACGAGGACCTGAACGAGGTGCCTGGGTCGTGAAATCTCTGCTAATTGGAGATGAAGACGAGACTGCTCCACTGACTTGGCCAAGAATAGTTACCGCCGGGAACCACCGACGCATCAAATCTGCTTCTCCTCAGCCATGACATCCCAGAGGTCGAAGCGCAAAGAATGAATCGCACAACTTAAGCTTCAGATGATCTGACTCTTTTGAAGCGATTCATGTTAAAACTCAATCGTAATACGAAAAAGATCTCCCTCCCAGTCTCGGGAGCAAGACTATGATGCAACGCTGGTAAACACCTCTGGGCCCGGATATGATAGATAACAAAGAAATAAATAACATTTATTTCCTCTTATCCTTGTACCTTTGGAGATACATGTCAAAATACGCTGAATTGAGGCTCAGCCCTGCCAAAAGTGGCCAGGGATCAACTCGCTCTCGTTTATTCTCCGGCCTCGTTAAGCTTCGTTCCCGTTACGCGCCTCCCTACGCATGCATTCCGGAAAGCCTACTGCGGCTCGGCATAGCCTAGTGTCCCCAGCTTTTGTTATGTATATAGTTTTAGAGAGCGCCCTTCCTGGCATGAATCTCCATCCATTGGGTCTTTAATCTCTAAACCGTTTACTTTCTTTTCTCTTCACCATGGCCGATACCGAAACCGCAGGCTTTGACTTCAAGCTTTATCGCTACGATCCTTCTCTACCAGCAGCAGTTGTCAGCACTGTTGTCTTTGCAGTCCTTTCGATACTACATACTTGGCGATTGATTCGAGTTCGAGCTTATTACTTTACACCTTTCGTCGTTGGCGGCTTCTGTAGGTGTACCACTTTGACAGATCATCCTGTTGATATAGCTAACCTTTTCTTCAGTCGAGACTGTCGGATATGCTGGAAGAATATGGAGTCACTTTGACAAGCTCTCTGTTGGCGGCTTCGTGCTACAAGCCATTCCTATCCTCGTCGCACCCGCCCTCTTCGCCGCGTCGATTTACATGATTCTCGGTCGCCTGATTCGAACCGTCGGAGCTGCTCATCTATCTCTTGTACCTGTAAAGTGGGTGACGCGCATTTTTGTCACCGGCGACGTTATCGCATTCAGTCTGCAGGCCGGCGGCGGAGGTATTCAGTCGGCTGGTACCTTGGACCTTTACAACCTGGGCGAGAAGATCATCATCGCCGGTCTGTTCGTCCAAATAGTCGTCTTTGGCTTTTTCGTCGTCACCTCAATCCTCTTCCATACCCGACTACTCAAATCTCCGACACCCGAGTCACTACGAGGCGATGTACCTTGGGCGAGATACCTCTACGTCCTTTATGCCACGAGTTTCCTTATTCTTGTCCGAAGCATCTTCAGGGTGGTGGAGTACCTTCAAGGAAACAAGGGATACCTGATCTCTCATGAGGTCTTCTTATATGTCTTTGATGCCATTTTGATGGCCCTGGTAATGCTTATTTTTATGATTTGGTATGTCAAGCACTTGCAGAAGAAGAGCAAACCGGCAGATATCGAGGACAGGGAGTTGTCCTCTTATGAGAGCCCCGAGGAGTACCGACACAGGAAGTAAGGATAAAAGCATGCGACGGATAGACTGGTCTCGTTTTTTAGCGTCTGAATTATCTCATCTCATCACATAGAGCGAATATCATTAATTGGCACATTCGGAACATTGGTGCTCTTAATCCGTGACCGAATGGCGAACAAGAGGCTATGGTGCATTGTTAGAGCTGGCATACCTAACACCTGGTAATGCTGTGGTCGATAAGCAACATGCCTGGCTGGAGGTTCTTATCTGGTGATATATCACAACCAGTTTTGTTCATCAGCGTTACATGTGGAAGTTCAATTGACGCAAACCCAGTTGCAGAAGATGACGATCTCGCTGCAACCCCTCATTGAACCCTGGGGTTGCCATTGAGCTTACGGAGTAACCGCGGACCATTGGCTATCGGAGACAACCCAAATCATGATACCTCATTTTCGACCAAGTGTTAGAGCCATCAATTTACAAACTCAATTCGCCGAAATAGTTCAACGCCCACGTGCTCCCCGAAAGTATACATACGATAAAAACATGACGGGCATTTCCTGCGTGTAACGATTCCCGAAAATGCGATGACCACACAAACATTGGCGTTCTCGGCGCGTGATTAATCTCTCGCCTGTCATTGGATATCCTCATGTCTTGGTACGATCCAATGCAGCTAGAGGCATGGATTAGCAGGTTTTCGGAAGGTTACCTGTAAATCAACACTGACTATGCTGTATTCGTCCATGATCATCGGGTCTCTGAGATAAAGCCCACGCGACTTTCTCTTCTCATGATCGTCTTGCGCTTTTTATACTCCTTCTTCATTGTTCACATCTTCAGCCAAATTCGAAATCATGTCTTCTGTGAAAAAGAGCCAGGATGTGGAGGAGCAGAATGGACCCAACTATGGCACTGTCGATGTCAAGGTTGGCACTCAACAGGACCTTCTTGACCTACAAGATCTGGACCCTGCTTTCAATCACAAGATGAGACTCGTCAACGATGTGAGAAAATAACGTCGGGCTTCAAGAACGAGAGAAGCTGACTCGGACCAGGCTATTGACGAAATTGGTTGGACGCCGTACCACCTCAAGTTATTCTTCTTAAATGGCTTCGGGTATGAACTCTTGGAGAAGCACGACTTGCCTTCACTGTCATTCCCGATTCAAACGCCCGCGGACTGCTGACCCTTATTTGTGAAGCTATGCTGTTGATTCAATGATCCTTCTTTTCCAGTCCATCATTGCGACACAATCCTTCCGTGAATTCGGAGAAAAAGGCTATGCCAACGCCATGACCATCGCAGCATATGTCGGCATGCTGACTGGCGCTCTCTTCTGGGGTTTTGGCGCCGACATTATAGGGAGAAAATACGCCTTCAACATCACCCTATTCCTCTGTGCAGTCAGCTGCATCATCGCTGGCGGAATGCCCAACTGGCCATCCCTTGGGTTTTTCGTTGCGCTCCTTAGTTTTGGCGCCGGCGGCAATCTCGTCATGGATACAGCTGTTTTTCTGGAGTACCTCCCCAGCAACAAACAGTGGCTTCTAACCCTCATGGCATGTTGGTGGGGTTTCGGGCAGGCTATTGCTGGCTTCATCGCTTGGGGATTCATGGTTCCTGAGCGTTGGAATTGTGTTGATGTCGAGACTTGTACACGAGGGAATAACATGGGCTGGCGATACGTCATGTTCACAGGCGGCGCTCTTGTCTTCTTCCTATCTCTTCTTCGAGTCACCGTCATCAGACTCCGCGAAACTCCCAAGTACCTCCTCGGTGTCGGAAAAGAGGAAGAACTGATTGAGACATTCCAATACCTGGCAACCAAGTACAATCGCACTTGCTCTCTCACTTTGCAGGATCTCGCCGCTTGCGGAACTATCACTTCAGCTCACAGCAAGAACCGATTCTCGATAAGCGAGACGATGATTCATATTCGAGGTCTGTTCGGCACCAAGAAGATGACCATCTCAACCGCCAGCATCTTTCTGTCCTGGACACTGATTGGTCTTGCGTACCCTCTGTTCTACGTCTTCCTTCCGTGAGAACCATGCCCCCAATGTCTTAACACAGGCGTTAACATCGTAAAGGTCTTATCTTGCCAGCAGAGGCGCAGTCTTCAACCGCTCAAAGTTCGAAATCTGGCGTAACTATGCTCTGACAAACATCAGCGGTATTCCAGGTCCCGTTGTCGCTGGCTTCATGTGCAACACCAAGCTTGGTCGCAAGTACACAATGGTCATCGGCGCTTTGATAAGTATGGCTTTCTTCTTCGCCTACACTTCTGTGAAGACTTCTGTGCAGGACCTCACCTTCACTTGTCTGATCGCCTTTTGCATCAACATCTACTACGGCACTCTTTATGCCTACACTCCTGAGGTCTTGCCAAGTGCTCATCGCGCTACTGGAAGTGCTATTGCTGTCGCGTGCAACCGAGTGATGGGAATCGTATCAGCTGTTGTTGCGAGTGAAGCTAACACGGATACACCGGCCCCTCTGTATGTCTGCGCTGCGTTGTTTCTTGCAATGGCAGCCGTCTCAGCTTCATTCCCATTTGAACCATATGGACACCGAAGCTCATAGAAGATTGCGTTCCTTATGTCACAAGCTCACAAAGCTGCGACGAGAAGCGTAACGGCCTCCTTTAAGCTTCATCATGACACGACAGGGACTGGATGCTATGCAGGTAAGTCGCTCCTCGGGCAAGGAGGCACATCGCGACTGACACTGACAAAGAACACTCTTGAAATGCAGACCAATGAATGCTATAGACTCATCATCGAGGTCACTAAGTCATTATTCGCTGACCAGCAGAAGGCATTCTAGAGTTTAGCAATGACAATGATATCATCACAAGCCTTGTACTCGTAATATTCAACATCCATTAACAAATGACAACGTCGGGTTCAAAAGGTGACAGTAAATTCTTCAAGTTACTTCTTGATAGAGATAAACCAGGATTGCTGGTAACTCATTGCCAAATGAGATAAAGAGCCTCAGGTTGTCGAATCATCATTCTAGGCGTGTCACATAATAACGTGCTAACATCTCGCCTCAAGACTGGACTTTCAACGGATAACATTAGCACTTACTCTGGCGAGAAAGTGGTCCATTCATCCGACATATGTGAATCACGGCTGTTTTCGCGAATCCGATCCACCTGCGGATTTCTTGAACCCTCAAGGCGTGCACTCTTCCATCTCTCCTCTCCATGGCACAAGCTTTAGAGCATTGGCATCACATCCTTCTCTCCTTGATCGTCCCTTATCCCATCGACCGCCCCCTTCCCACTTTTGCAACTCACTTTCAACCCCGGCAGGCGGTGTGTCCCCCAGCCGAATTCACTCATTCATAGTTTCTCAACTAACCGAACTTCAGTCCTGGTATCAATCATCAAAGGCAGAAACTCCACGGCAAACAGCAAGGTCTACACTTCTGGACAACAAGGTCAATCCCCTCGAGCAGCGCATCATGACTTCAGTCATGTCGGAAAAGTCGACCTCTCGATCGAAGCGCAATTCCCCGAAGCGCAGCCTTGCGTCCAGCTCGTCGACAAGCGACGCGAAACGCCGCAAGAGCGAGCACGTCAAGAAGTTCACCGAGATGACGCTCGATGACGTCGAACAAATCTTTCAGAAGTCCCAGGACGCTCTCAACAAAGCAGAGGAACTGTACCAGGATGCTGAAAAAGCCCGCACCGAAAAGCTAGAGACCTACATGGATGCCACAAAGGCCATGACAGGTGCGCACCAGACACTGTCGAGCGCCATGATCAGAAAAGCCAATGCAACGAAGGACGTTGCCCGGCTAGAAATGATCAAGGATGCTAGGGAGGCGATTCAGAAACGTGATGACCTGCAGAGTCAGGTCGAAAAACAGAAGAAAGAGCTCTTTGCGGTTGAAACCAAGCTCTTGATGTGGGAAAACATCGCCAACATGGCGGTAGAGAACCTCAAGGAGGACGATCTGGAGCACCTCTTCCAGTTTCAGGGGTAAATATTGCGAGCAAAACGAGGTATAAGGTACTCTGCGATGGGTTATCTCAGCGCCTTTTCATTGTCCTTGATGCACTGCACCTACAACATGGGTGAAATTGGCCGCATGGCCTCAAGCTCTACTTATCTCATGCTATGTGACCTGATCTAATTCTGTGAATACCATGTTCTGTACGTTGCCTGTGCTTGTCGCTTGACTTACCAAGTTATCAGTCGACTTAGGTCACATCAAACACAGATCAAGGAGAATAGGCTCCTCTCTCCTCGCCTCTAGTCGCAGTGCTAAGTCGGCAGCTGTCAACCGCAACTTTTATTACTGCACTCTTGGGGGCCCCGCCGCCCACTCTGTTGTCTCGGGCATTCGTGATCATCTGATGTCGCAGTAAATCGTCTAGCGTAGGGTATCTACTTGGCATGGGTGACTGGGCTGTGCAGTGTGGACTCTTCGGCTAGGCAGGGGTATGTTGCATCAATGGAGATGTCGGCCGAAACTTGTTGGAAAACTGCCTATCCACCTGGACGGCCTTTTGGTCGGATGGAAGTGGTATTCAAGATAAAAAACAATTCTGCCCTACATCAGTTGTAACTCGGGTTTCCAAGGTTGTTTTGTTATTCCACGGTGGCGCAGTGATCCTTCGGATTCAGCCTTGAGGCTTAGCACTCCACTCGGCGGATAAAACGGAACAAATTCACCAAAGCAAAGTATTCATAAACAAGCCCTACACAACTCATTTCCTTCAGTGACAGATGTCGCTATACGTTATCATTCAGCAGAGCATTTGGATCAATTCCGCAAACCAGAAATAATCTAGAGCCATGTCCTTCTTCACCGTATTCGTCGAACTCTGTATTTTCACCATGGGCCTCACCAGCCTCGTTGGTGGAGTACTCGCCCTTTGTAACCCACAAAACCAATATCAACTCAAAGGCATTCCAGACAAGAGACCCTCAGACGATCCTGCCAGCTTCGCGCCGATATATATGCTAGCAGCGAGAGATATATCATTCGGCAGTTTTATCCTAGCACATCAACTCCACGACAACCATATTGCCATCGCTACCATCCTGGCTGTCATGGGCCTCATGAAATTCGGCGATCTTCTTACTTTTCTCGCAGTTGGCGACGGAAAAAGGTCATTCCCGGGTATCTTGCACTTCCTTATGGGTATTGGCTATCTAGGCTGGGTGCCATACCTGTACAGAAACTAGTTCTGTATTGAGAGCGAATATGTATGTACTGAATTATCTTGTCATCGGTGTTGGGTTACACTCATTTAACTTTACGGAAGGTTAAACAATTAGTCTACGTTTCGATTCGGCATTCCAACATCAAAAACATCATAAAGGGGAAGGTTTGAGATAAACTGCTGTTGTTAGATGAAGCCGTTGGCCATCTGAACTCTGCGCCGGCTAGGCGGTTCATGAGCGCCACTTTGATGCGACATTGGTGGATAAAAGCCGACGCAGCACACCGAATCCGGGGTTGAAAGTGAACCATAAGCTCGGAACCAGGCGGGATGATGGGTTGGGTTAGGGGCACAAATAGACTTTGGCGGGTGATGCTTTTAGGTGGAATTCCCTGATCGCAATTAAACCTTGTTCGATTACCAACATACGTCAACAACAAGTGCCGAGGCCGATGCAGTCAAGGTTATCTGGGTAAATCCAACAGCAAAAGATGCTCACATGATTCACAAGAATTGAATAAAGAATGCATCACCACTGAAATCACTAAGCAAACTGTTTCTTCTCACATGATTACCTGCATGCAAGTCAACGTGCTTTGACTCTCATCTCATCTGAGACCTAGTGCCAAACTAGGAACAAAAATCGAGCTCCGACAAGCTTAGCCAGTCCAACTGCCGATGACATGGGTCCCGAGACTTGCGGGCAAAATTAACACCAAATCGAGCATCTTAAGATGAGGAATCTTTGCACGGAACCCTCGGCACCCTAAGCAAGAAAGCTTATTCAGATACGCCATGGCTTATGCTGTGCGACACTGTTATTCTCACCGGTCAATAAAAGCCCGAGCTGCCCAACGATCATCATCTCACTCCTCATTCACTCAATCACGCGCCGCTCTCTTTCTCCCCAGTCCCTCTTTTTCACAATGAAGTTCTACACCTCTGCCCTCGCTTTGGCCTCATGTGCCACCGCCATTGTTGTCCCTGCTGGCTCTGCGCCCAAGTATGACGTTGATGTTGCCATCATCGGTGGTGGATCCGCCGGTATCCATGCTGCCATCAACCTTAAGGATGATGGTTTGAGGGTTGCTGTTATTGAGAAGGAAAACCAGATTGGTGGTCATGCCCAGACATATGTCAACCCTGTGACGAAGCGACCTACCAACATTGGCGTTACGCTCTTTGAGAACACCAAGACTGTGCAGAAGTACATTGGTCGTCTTGGTGTTGCTCTTGCCAAGAACAATCCCTTCTCTGCTACCACCAGCACAAACAAGCAGTATGATTTCACTCTGGGCATTCCTATTCCTGCTCAGTCTCAGGCTCAGGCTGCTGCTACCAAGGAGGCCATGGCCGCTGCTATGCAAGCTTATGCCCAGAACGTCCTCCCCAAGTATCCCTGGATCGATCAAGGTTATTTGATACCCAACCCTGTTCCTCAGGAGCTTCTTCTACCTTTCGGAGAGTTCGCTGCCAAGTACAACTTCAGCGCTATCCTGCCTCTAATCAGCCAGCTGAACTGGTACCCCGGCAACATCACCGCCATCCCCACCATCTACGGTATCAAGAAGTTCGGTCCTGGTCTCCTCCAGAGTGTTTCCAGCGAGTTCCTCGTTGCTGCCTCAGGCGACACCCGAAGCATCTATGAAGCTGCTGCCAAGGTGCTTGGTAACAGTATCTACCTCAACTCCGAGGTCGTCAGCGTTCGACGAAACGTTGCCGGTAAGGGTGTTGTTGTCGCCTTCAAGCAGAACGGCAAGACCATCACCCTCCGGGCCCGCAAGCTAGTCGTTGCCATGCCTCAGACACGCGCCAACACCAAGATGTTCGATCTTTGCGAGAAGGAGAGGAAGCTCATCACCAAGTTTGCTGCTTTCGGCTACGTCGCCGGTGTTGCTCACATTCCCGGCCTCGAGAACGGCCTTCAGAACGTCGGAGCTCTCACCCCCGCCAACGTGCCCATCGTCCCTGGTAACAACGGCTACTTCCAAACTGGTTCACCCGACGACTTCCTCATCGGCACTGGTTTCCCCAACACCGACTACACCCTCGAGGACGCCAAGGCTCTCATGCGCAAGGAGCTCACCACTCTGGCTCGTGTTGGCGGTGCCCCCGCTGATGCTGCCGAGAAGTGTACGTTCCCTATGCTTGAGGACCATGCTCCTTACTACCTCCACGTCACTGGCCATGATATTGCCCAAGGCTTTTACCGTGACCTCATTGCGCTTGAGGGTTACCGCAACACTTACTGGACCGGTGCTGTGTTTGCTGGACACAACAGCGGTTTGATCTGGAACTGGAACGACGGTACAGTTCTGCCCGCCATCAAGAAGGATCTTGAGCTTGAGACTTCACTGTAAGGTGGATCATATGAGATTATGTATTACTTTCGCTGAATCTTTTCTTTTTTAAACTTTGATAGAAATACAATGATTTAATGCAAGGCGCTATAAGTGATGCTCCAATCAATATCTCACTATGCAACAAAGTGATAATGTCAGTAAGGCTCTTGTGATAGCCAGACCACTGCATGCCAAGTTACTAACTAGTAGCGTTAAATATTACATTCTCAGCCCGCCTCACTTGGATTGCATGCTACCATGACTTTTCATAAGTTTTGCCGCACCGGTCGGGGACTACGGCCCTCTGACCTACCCCGAAGGCAAAAAGAGAATTGCACAACACCACAAAAAGATCGTGGATAGGCTATTACAGCTTTGGAATGCGTAATCAGGGAATCGAACCCTGGGCTCCCCGACGCTGCTCGAATGGCAACGGAGAATTTTACCACTAAACCAATTACGCGGTGCGATTGTTGAAGTACGACGGTCACTCCAGTGTTTGAGAATGTTTTGGTGGAGTTGAGATGGGGTTGAGACCCAGTGCTCGGGTCCCTTTCCCTTCTTCGTCCTAGTGTCAATTGACTACCGAACCAATTCGCAATGGCTGTTCGCCAACAGTGGGCTATCAATTTACCTGTTGTGGTTTAGTTCTTGACAGCGGCACGTCATACTGAGTGTCACTAAAAGTTACTGAAGCAGACGCTCTGTAGTCTATATCAGTGCTGCGGATGCCCCTCCGCTCCATCGATAACTTCCCCTCTCAACTCTCAAAGAACAAAATGGACGATTATACTATTCTATCAGTTGCATTAAGCGCCTTCGCTGTCTTGGCAGGTCTCTACCTGCTTATTTCCAGCACCAAGACGCGAGAAGCTCGATTGGAAGTCACCCAAGTAAGTAAGCTCACTCAAACAAAAAGTTCCGGCTAACAAATTCCCGAAGTTGTATGTTTATCCCGTCAAGGGCATCCGAGGAACTTCTTTGACAAAAGCGCGTCTCGGTCCATATGGCTTCGAGGGAGACAGGACCTTTTCTCTGCAAAAGGTCAACCGAAATGAAAAGGGCAATGTTTCCCATGAGACGATGCTGATCGGATATCATTTGAAACTCGCTCTCTTTTCAGCTTCTGTCGACTATGATGAGGGCCAAGTTACGGTGAGTTGGACTGGAGACAAGACAGATGATAGCGTCGACTTCCCTCTGAAGCCTACTGTTGAGGGTCGGAAGACGATCGAAACCAGTCTGCATACCAGCAAGGCCAGGGCCTATGATATGGGAGATGAGCTGTCACAATGGTTCTCTGACCGCCTTGGCGATGAAGTCCGACTCGTCTACATTGGGAACGAGTCAAGAGCCGTCCTGGGCTCCTTGGCTCCTCACAGCTCAGACGCTTTGAAGAAAGCTTCCTTCACCGAGCGTATCAAGAACATCCTCCCTCCTTTATACCACCCACCTGAGAGACTTGCCTTCAACGATCTTGCCCACTACCTAGTCGTCACAGAAGAGTCCAACAACGAAGTTTCATCTCGCCTTGATGAAGGCTACTCCATGGACATCACCAAATTCCGTCCCAACATCGTTGTCCGCGGCGCCTCCAAAGCGTTCGCCGAAGATTTCTGGGGCGAGCTCACTTTTGCAGGTGGAATACGCATGCCGTTGACAGCAAATTGCTACAGATGTCAGAGTATCACTGTTGACTACAATACTGGGAAGACTGCTACTGATGATCGCGGTACGGTCTGGAAGAAACTCAACAAGGATCGAAGAGTGGACAAGGGAGCGAAATGGAGTCCTGTCTTTGGGCGCTATGGTTTCTGTTACGGTGATGCGACGAGTAAATCATTGACGGTTGGCCAGCGGGTCGACGTTACGCGAATTAATTCTCAAAGAACGACATTTGGTGAGCTTTGATACCTCGAGATTTATATTCAAAACTGACGAGCGTAGATTGGCCACATCTAAGTACATTCGGTGTATCACAGAAGAAGTAATTCAAGCGTGTGCACTGGATTAAATGGAAGTTGATACTTTAGGAACTGCAATAATAATAAACAATCTCTTATTGACCTTAGTTCTCCTGCTATTATACTTATGCTGATGCTGTTTTAAAAACACAGAGGTCTGTCATTTACTCTGCAAAGGTGTCTAGAGCCCCGAGACATATTTGCTGCCCCTCGAGTTATCCACGATGTCTCGCCTCGGGCAATGCAAAGAATGGCAGAGGGATCAAACTACCGCCATTTGCCTCACAGTCTTTCAGCATTTTCTCGGCCGTGATATAATCATTTGGGTCCCGTAGCGTTGGGGGGGACTTATACCGAGGAGGGTTGGATCTTTTCTTGGCAAAGTACTCCTCCCATTGCTTCTTTGTGTTCATTTTCCGCTCGGCTTCCAGTCTCGCCACCTCTGTCTTGACCTCTTCCTCAGTCGGGAAATGAGCTTCTTGTCCAGGACACAATCTCGCATCGTCGAAGAATGCCCAGGCTCTCTGTTGGTGTATGGTGCGTCGCATTCTCTTGACTTGGGCGGCTTCTGTATTGGTACGATTGGGTTGTCCTGCGAGTCGATTCAGTTGAGCAGTGTCTTCCCTTGATTGCATCTCCTCGACCCTGGAAACAATGTGGTGAGCTGAGTCGCAGCTCCTCCGGTCATATTTTGAACACATCCTCGCAATCCGCATGGGTTGGTGTTCTGCCTTGGCCTCCATCATCAAGTGCGACAGTACATCGAACCCACACCAAGGTAGCGCTTTGGGGTAATAGGCTGCATACTCGAGAGACTTGTAACGACGGAAGGGATACTGTGGATCGTAACACATCGTTTCGACAAAGAATGAGTCCTCGCGTTCGACCTGTCTCAGAGAATCACAAGTCTTCTTGTAGTCCTTGAACATCTTTGCACCTGGATACTGGACGAACATCGCGCTGTAGGATGCTTTCATGTATTCATATACGCACATCAAAGCCTTCTTCTCCCAGCTGCTCAATCCGAGCTTCAGCTTCGGTCGGAGCTTGGTCAGTGCGAGGTGGACTCGTTCGTTGCTGAACTTGCAGAGGACCTCGAACTTGATAAATGCTTGAAAGAGACGAAGTCTCTCTTGGGGGTTCAAGTTATGCAGAGTGATGAGCTGTGGGTCAACGGTGTCGATATATGTACGGCGCGGGGGCCGAAGATACGCTTCGGCAGTATTCTGGGCCGTTGCCTTGCTGAGGTAGTCTTCGATGAACTCGCCCATGCGCTCAAACAGAAGCCGAAGCTTGGTGATCATGCAGCTGTCACCCTGGCGGAAAGGTAGTGGGAGAGTCTTGGCTTTCCGTTCGCGCAAAATATCGGAGATTTGGTCGAGGTCGTCAGTCTCGCTGAGGTAAATGATCGCTAGAGCGTCTTGGAGAAGACCATGATCGTTTGCATCGGTACCGACAAGTTGCAACAGGTATTCGCGCAGATAAATCGACTCAGTAGTCGTATATTGGGCCAGCATGGCTGGTGAGGCTCGGATCAGTCGAGCGGTCGTCGCATGCGAAGGAATAGATCCGAGGATCTTGATGCGGACCTCAGCAGGGAGGCTGTCGAAGGGATCCATATTGTTTGGCGTTGGATGTAGGTATTGAGGGTATGGTCGATGTTGTTTAGTTTGAGTGATGCTGGATGGTAAGCGGAATGTTGTGAATGCTTCGGTAAATGTGAAAGGAGAAAGGAAAGCTGAGGTGTTTTATATTGAAGGACAAAAAGCGCTAAGAAACTTGATGCCTGTGAACAGTTATTATTGACACCTTATTTGAACGTCAGAAATTTGCTTTACTACCAGTGGCGGGTATACGGCTACTTGCTTGGCCACAGGGTTAGACTTTAGGCTGGTCAGATAGGTAATTGGTGTACGATATTGCTTTTCGCAAGACAATCTTCTGCTTTGCAAATTTCGTCAATAACTAAGAGACCTAATCCTGATCAAGCCTTTGAAGGTTTGCAAAAGGAAGAGACTAAAAGGTATATAACCTTAAACTTTCATCTCTGGTCGAGGGACGGGAAGGAGAGTTTTCAACCGACAAGAGGGTTAGATGACTTTAATTGTTAACATATGATGTCCGCTCATGAACTGAGTCGACATCATTAACAGTCGTCCTGGTTGTGTTCAGAGGGATAAGCCTTTCGGATGCTGAACAATGGAGAAGAGGACAAATATGGAACAGTCTCGACAAGAGTGTTCAGCATGGCAAAGACATTTTTATCTCTCGTTCTCAAATCAAAGACTGACTTACGGTTTTTCGGATGAGAACAAATGGAAAGGAGGAATAGTAGATCAAGGTTTGAAGGTTAATGTCGGTCGATTACTCACTAAAGTATCGTTCTCAACTGGCACAAAGAGCACTCGTATTCAGCGTAAGAGGTACAATCTACATCTTGACCTTGACTTTTTCATGTAAACCTCCTCGTCATCCTCATGCTTTCGCTTCTAGCTTGAGATGCCAACACTCCGTCTACAGCCTTTTCCTACATATGCTCCATGTAAGACCCAAGCATCTCCGCCACGATTCGATCCGGAAAGGTCAGGTATGGGTCGAAGGCTACTTTCGTGTGTGTAACATTGGGCCATGTGATTCCATTCAAATTGAATCTCGGTTCGTTGAGTGCTTGGAGGATGCGGGCATCAATGTCAGCCTGGAAGACATGGGCGAAATTCTTGTCCCCATCAAAAGCCACGAGGAGACGCACCTTTTTAGAGTCAGTAAAGTATCAGCTGCAGAGTGAATAAACGTACAGGGAAAGTCTCCGGCATTGCTCTCTTCTGTTTGATCGCCTGCGCTTGTGCCAGGGACAACAGCAGACAGACGATGTAAGGGTCCTCCGCCCAATTCTCCGGGATGATTCTTCGCAAGTGGGAGTCGCATAGTCTCTTGACTGGGGAGTTAACCTTCTTTCTCGGGTGAGACGGAGGAGTGTACCGTCTCCGCCGCTCACGGAGGAATGTTCGGTAATATGCACACCCGATAACCGGTGGCTGCGTCTGGGAAGATGGC